CGGGCCCACCCTGGCCTCACCCCGGCCCTGTGTTCTGCCCCCTACACTCGCTGCCCCCCTCGGTTCCTGTCTCAGCGTCACGGGATGGGGTGACATTTGAGATGAGGCCACGTGCTCAGTCCTTAGACTGGGGGGCAGGCCGAGGCTCTGGAGTCCCATCAGCGCCCTCTCCTGGTCAGCTGTGGATAGCGGCCTTTCTCTCTGAATCTGTCAAATGCGCCGGTTATGGGGGGATCAGCGAGGTAAGCGTGAGAAGCAGCAGCAAGGTAGGGGCCCGTCAATGGGCAGCTGTGCTATTCTATGGGGTCCCCGCTTAGCCCGGGTTGGGGTTAATGCCAGTCTGCGCTCCTCAGGCGCCCCGCCGCCCTCTACTGCTCACAGGTTATCATTTGCACCGAGACCACGTGGTATTCAGTGTCCACACGTCTGGCTCTTACTCCGCACCTGAGGCCCCCAGGCCCCCCACGCTGAGGTTGGGGCCTCAGAGCCTCACCAGTGCCAGCTCTGGGGCAGACCTTCCTAGGGGTCGTCTCTCCCCTGGCCCTGGCTGTGTGGTCTGCCCCTCTTTGGGCCTCAGTTTCCCCCACTGTAAATGGGGGGCAAACGTTGCCCCAGGGTTAGACTAGGTGTGTGCAGGGGCACCTGGCACTGAGCCCATCCCCCTGGCGGTGGGGCTCAGGATACCCTGCGCAGGACGCCCCCGCCACAGGGAGCCTGGCCTGTGTGGGGAAAGCAGCTGGGAAAGGCACATTTGCATTTAAATAGAGTCCAGGATTTTCCCCTCTTCCATCTTCACCCCTGAGATTAAAGTGTCTGCAGCCACAATGGTGATGGTGGTGACTCCTGTGGCCCCAGGTTGGGCGGGAGGAGTGTGGGACACCAGCCAACAGCCTCTTCCTGGCTGTGTGAATACTGGCACCCTTCTCTCGGCCAGCCTCAGTCTTCTGGTCTGATGAATGGGAGCAGTGCAGCCTGCTTTGTGAGGACAGTGAGCGGCTAGGGCTCCCTGAGACCGAGGAGGGATCTCAGCGCCCACCTGCCCAGCCCCACCCCCACCCCCACCTGGTGGCCCTGCAGGCTGCCCCCACCCGCAGCACCTTCGTTGTTCGTGTCCCTGAGCTGGACGACTAGTGGTGGGTCACGGTATGTGAGCAGACACAGGAGTGGTGACTACCAAGGTCTGTGCCCGCCCTCCTGCCTGGCCCATCACCTGGGTGAGCCCGCCACCCGCCCACCCCTTCCACTGTGTCCCACCCTGCTTGCTCCAAGGACAGGGGGCTTGGGCCACTCGCTGTGTGTCCTTGGCTGAGGTGCTCTGCCTCTCTGGGCCCAGGTGGAGGCTGGATAGGATGGGGAGGGACCGGTGGGAGGGTGGGCTCCGTGGGCTGCTGGGGAGGGAGAGAAGAAGGTTCTACAGCAGGCGTGGGGGTGTGGAGGACTCTCCCTCCACCCTGTCTACGCCAGCAGGGAAAACGCGGACCCACGACCTAGACTTGGCGTGACTCCCTCCATGGAGCCCATCAATTTGCTCCTGGCACCCCCTGCTGGCTGTTTGCAGAACAGACGCAGGGAAAATGAGGGGATTTTGCCTCCCTCTCCAGTGCCCCTGGGCCCACAGAAGCGTGGTTCTCTGGGCCAGCCCAGGCCCAAACGTCAGTGCCGCAACCCGCCCTTCCTGAGTCCTTGGTCGCCAGGCCCTGGGGCTGTCTCGGTTATCCTCACTCCTCCCGTCCTGGGACATCCATCAGGCCGTTCTCCATTTGGAGTCCCTGGGTGGTGCCAACTGTTGGTGTACTCAGCTGCTAACCAAAAGGTTGGAGCACCTCGAAAGAAAGGCCTGGAGAGCTACTTCTGAAAAATCAGCCATTGAAAACCCTGTGGGGCACAGTTCTTCTCTGATACATGAGGTCGCCATGAGTCAGGGGTCGGTGTGACGGCAACTGGTATTATTACCCACTCTGCAGATGAGGGAGGAGCCCCAGTGGTGCGGTGGTTAAGCACAGCTCGGCTGCTAACCCAAAGGTCAGTGGTTCAAACCCACTAGCTGATCCTTGGGAGAAACATGTAGCAGTCTGCTTCCGTAAAGACTGCAGCCTTGGACACCCTATGGGGCAGTTCTGCTCTGGCCTGTAGGGTCGCTATGAGCTGGAGTTGACTCGAGGGCGGTGGATTTGGATTGGTTTTGATGCAGATGAGGAGGCTGAGGACTTGACCGTGCACGGCCTGTGGGTGATGGAGCGGGTACTCGAGTCTGGTCTTGCCTCCAGCTGCCTGCTCTCGACCCCGTTCTCCTGCCTACCCTCTGGGGTCTCGCGAAGTCCTCACTCTCACCCCCTGAGGTGGGGCCTACTCCCCCAAGCCACAGATGAGACGACTGAGGGTCTGAGAGGCACAGAACTTCTGACCTGCCCTTGGCCAGCCTGGTTCTTGGGGAGCCTCCCTGGCCCCCGCCCTCAGCCGCAGTGCCCTCCAGGGGTCCCGGCTCTGGTCTGGAGTCAGTGTAGGCCCTTAGCAGTGCCGTCAGTGACCCCTCGCCGCCTCGAAGGGGTGCATGTCAGTGGTGCCATCCGCTCCGACGCCGAGGGCAGCGAGCCCTTGCTGAGGACGACAAGGACGGTGGTGGCCACAGTGCACCAAGCAGGAAGAGAGACTGGGGCAGGGAGACCCGGGCACCTGTCACGGCATCCAGCTTATCAGGCCAGCGTCTGCCCCGTGGCCCACCGATCAGAGAGGCCCTGCTCTGCCTCTCGCCCCCAATGGCTCCCCAGTACTTTAGGGCCCTCGAGTCCCTCCTCCTCACCTCCCCATGCACCAGGGCTCAGACTTTTGGGGCCTATGCTGGATTGGAGGGGGCACAGGTCAGTGAAGGCAGTGGGTACAGTCTGGGGCTGGGACTGAGGAAGACAGGAGCCAGGAGGCCAGGTGGAGACCTTTGCCCCCCAGCAGGTGGTCAGCTCTGCCGGCTCCCCAGGGACGGTCATCTGGGCTCTGACACCAGCTGTGACCTCGGTGCTCCCTCTCTGGTGTCCCTGTTTGGGGGGTGCTGTAGGAGGAAGCAGCACACGGATCAAAGCTGGGGGTGGGGGCCTCAGGGATTGTGAGGGGCAGCCCTCTGCTGTGTGGATAAGGAAGTGGGCTCACAGGAGCTGGGCCTGGGCCAGAACTAGACTGAGTGCTTTGGGGGAGGGTGCGGGGTCAGACACTGCACTGAGGACGGTGGAGGAGGGCGTGGGTCCGCCCACCCCATCACCAGGATGCCGTGGGGGTGGGTGGGGGGAATCATTCATTCATCCATTCGTTCAGCAAACCGGCCTGGGACTCCTGCTCTGGAGCTCTGGGCCGTCTGGGGAGGCCCTGGCACAGGGGCGGGTAGACAGCCTGGAGCACCGTGCCCCGAGCACCCGGCAGGGGCCCCAAGACCGTCCTCGGCCAGACTCCTTTCCCTGGGCACCGCTGTCAGCCACCCCACCCGGGTGAGGGCCGGCCTCTCAGCAGCCATCGCTGCCGCAAACCCTCCGATGACTTCCAGCAAACCCGTCCTGCCCGCTCCCCGCCCGCGCTCTGACCTCCTAGCTGTCCCGCGTGAGCGCGTGGGCGCCGCGCCCCCGAGCCCTGCTGGGTAGCCCTCAAAGGTCACTGCTAACAGACGCAGGCGGACCGCACACCCAACTTCCGCCCTTTACCGTCCCTTCTCCCCGCCTCGCCTGCCCCTGACCCCGCGTCTGGTCCCTGCCTAGGTGGCTGGAAGCTGTGGTCCCTGTGGGGCGAATGCACGCGGGACTGCGGGGGAGGCCTGCAGACGCGGACGCGCACTTGCCTGCCCACGCCGGGAGTCCGGGGCGGTGGCTGCGAGGGCGTGCTGGAGGAGGGCCGCCTGTGCAACCGCAAGGCCTGCGGCCGTGAGTGCGGGTCCAGCGGGCGGCCGGGATGGAGGGAGGGGGCGGGCGGGGCCAGGTGAGGGAGAGGGCGGTGTGGGAAGGAGCCAGGTGGAGGGAGGGGCGGGGCCGGGTGGAGGGACGGGGCCAGGAATGGACAGGGGTCAGGTGAAGGGAGGAGGTGGGGCCATGAAGAGGGAGGGTCCCTGGAGTGGGCAGGGCCAGATGGAGGGAAGGGGCGGGGTAGAGGGCTGCAGGGGCTAGGCCGGGACAGGGAGTGGGTGGGGGCGGGGCCTCGAAGGGCGGGGCCTTGGAAAGCGGGGCCAGACAGGGGCAGAGCGTGTGCCAGCTCGGGGAGAGGCCTGGTCCAGGCCGGGCGGGGGGACCGGAGGTAAGAGTCTGGAAGGAGGGATGGGACTCAGGCCAGGAGGGACTGTACAGGGCTTTCTTGCCATCGACGGATTGGGATTTTGGGGGTGGCCCCTCCGCCTTCCCACTCGGGCAGCCGTGGCCCGGCCACCCACCCCAGCCCCACCCCGCCTCCAGAACGTATTTCTCTAATAAAGTCTAATGACCTCATGCATTTTTTAGCTGCTCCCGTAAAGGTATATCAGGTTATAACGAGACTGTCACTGCTAGGGTTGTTTTCCCCTTGATAAACTTTTTTGGAGGAAGAGCTCATCTCAGGAGCCTGGGGGGTGGGGGGGATGGTTCGCTGGGGAGGGCAGCAGTCATTCACAGCAGGAAGGGGGGCAGGGCCAGGGAGCAGGACAGACAGAAGGGGACCCATGGTGACAAGACACAGGGTCGGAGGTAGGCTGGGGTGCCCATCTGTCCATGGGCTAGGGGGCTCCTGGTGCTAGTCAGCCTACACCGCTCCGGCCAAGGACTGGGGGAGCAGGGCGGTGGGACGGGCACAGGTGGGGGCTGGTGGAGTCTCTGACTGCACCGGTCCTGTCCTGCAGCCGCGGGGCGCACCAGCTCGCGGAGCCAGTCCCTGCGGTCCACGGACGCTCGGCGTCGCGAGGAGCTGGGGGACGAGCTGCAGCAGTTTGGGTTCCCGTCGCCGCAGACAGGTGAGCTGAGGGTGCGGGGCGGCGTGGCACCCCCACACTGCGTTGAGGCACGGAGTCGGGGAGAGTTGGAGTTCAGGGGCGTCGGTCTGTGAGCAAACACTGTAAATTGGTAATCGTTGCTAATGATAAGTAATAATCTTAGCAATTAACCACAATTAGACTAACTTCTCAGGTGCCAGGTGAAGGCTGGGACCCAGGGATGGCACTGACCCTGCCTCAGGGGCTGGCTCCGGGCCTTACAGGCTCGTCACCCAGCCCTTGCCCTCGGCGGTACCCCTGACGCCCCTAGTGGTGCAGGCGGCGTCGGTCCGTAATGCTGGGTCTGGGTCCGCAGGTGACCCCGCGGCCGAGGAGTGGTCGCCCTGGAGTGTGTGCTCCAGCACGTGCGGCGAGGGCTGGCAGACCCGCACGCGCTTCTGCGTCTCCTCCTCCTACAGCACCCAGTGCAGCGGGCCCCTGCGGGAGCAGCGCCAGTGCAACAACTCCGCCGTGTGTCCAGGTGGGTGCACGGGGCGGGCGGGGCGAGGCCGGGGCGCGAGACAGCTGGGCGGGGCGGGGCCAGGAGGGGCGGGGGCCCGGTGGGAGGGGCGGGGCCCGGTAGGAGGGGCGGGGCCCGGCAGGAGGGGCGGGGCCTGGCAGGAGCTGCGGTCCAGGCGCCAGGAGAGCAGCTGGGGGCAGCCTGCGCCTTCCTGCTCCTCCTCAGTGCACGGCGCCTGGGACGAGTGGTCCCCCTGGAGCCTCTGCTCCAGCACCTGTGGCCGCGGTTTTCGGGACCGCACGCGCACCTGCAGACCCCCCCAGTTTGGAGGCAACCCCTGTGAGGGTCCCGAGAAGCAAACCAAGTTCTGCAACATCGCCCTCTGCCCTGGTAGGTGAGAGGGAGGGCGGGGGAGGGGGGACGGGGAAGATCACCACCTCCGCCATCCCGTCTACTAGGGAGGCTCAAGAACCTGTAATCTCAGACTGCGCCCATGCTGGGGCTTGCGGTGTGACCCTGGGGGTGTTCTCACCCATGTCCCACCTGGATGTTGAGGTGCTCACGCCCAGGTGCCAGGCTGTGTGTTGGCACACTAGCCCTGGAATGTTCATGCCGGCTTCCCGCCCCTTCCTCCCCCGGGCCGGCAGTCGACGGAAACTGGAACGAGTGGTCAAGCTGGAGCGCCTGCTCCACCAGCTGCTCCCAGGGCCGGCAGCAGCGCACGCGCGAGTGCAACGGGCCTTCGTACGGCGGCGCCGAGTGCCGGGGCCACTGGGTGGAGACGCGAGACTGCTTCCTGCAGCAGTGCCCAGGTCAGCGCGCCAGGCCTGTGGGCAGCGGCGTGGTGGGGGCGGCTCTGCATGTCCGGGGCCTGCCCACGTGCTGACATCCGTGGATCGTGCACTCCTGTGTGTATGTCCCTGTCTCTGGTTACTGGTCCCCCCCCCCCGTGCCTCTGTGTCCCCGTCACCTGTGTTTCTGTATTCTAGGGTCTCAGTGTCCCATGTCTCTCCCTACCTTTTCGGGTCCCTCTCTGAGTGTTGATGTCCCCGCGGCTCTGTTTGTGGACTCCTGTGTCTCAATGTCCGCCTCCCTGTGTTTTTCTGGGCCCTGCGGTTTGTGGCTCCTGTCTGTGCCTCCTTGTCTCTGCCGGTGTCCCATGCCTCGCCGTCCCCCACAGTGGACGGGAAGTGGCAGGCCTGGGCGTCATGGGGCAGCTGCAGCACCACGTGTGGGGGCGGCTCTCAGCGCCGGGAGCGCGCCTGCTTGGGGCCCTTCTTCGGGGGAGCAGCCTGCCAGGGCTCCCAGGAGGAGTACCGACAATGCAGCGCCCAGCGGTGTCCCGGTGAGCACCCCACTCTCCACCTCGGCTGGGGGTGGGACACCTGGGCCCCAGCATTGGGCTGGGGCATCGGGGGGGGGGCTTGGGCTCGCTTCTGCTGGGGATAAACTGCCCTGTCACACTAGCTTCCCTGAGGGGCTCGACCCCTCATCCTGGCCTTCCTGAGCCGGCCCCGGCTCTCGCACCCCTCGGTGCCCCATCCCGAACCCCCAGCTCCGCTCATCATGCCTGGCCCTCGGCAGAGCCCCACGAGATCTGTGACGAGGACAACTTTGGTGCCGTGATGTGGAAGGAGACACCAGCAGGGGAGGTGGCTGCTGTCCGGTGTCCCCGAAATGCCACAGGTGAGACCCACGGCACAGGTGAGGTGTAGGGGGCTGCTGATGCTCCTCACAGAGCGGCATGTGAGACGCCCGCTTTGTGAGGTCGCTGAGACATCTCTACAGACCCCTGCTGTTGGAGGAGTACTGCACAGCCTGACACAGACACCTGTGTGCCCTGGAGCAGGGCTGCGGCCCGAGCTCAGCAGAACTCACGGGAGCACAGCGGCCCCTGAGGCCCTGAGCCCTCACCCAGGGCCAGCACTCGCCACATCCCCAGAGAGTGGCCGCCATCACTAGCTCATTGTCAGATGGGAAGCTGAGGCCTGGAGGGGTCACACACTCGCCTGGGTTTGCCCTGCCTTTGTGGGGAACGACTCTGACCCAGGCAGCTCTGACCCCCCAGCCCCTGTGGAGTGAAGTGGAGTGGTGGGTGGGAAAGGCGGGGCGGGGGTCTGGCCGGAAGGGGCTCGTCCCACGAGGGGATGGTCCTTTCCACCCCTGTTATCAGAGGGGTGGCAGTGGTGGCAGGCTGTGCGCCATTCGGGATTGATTTCACGTCTCTGAGCCCCAGTTTTCTCCTCTGTAAATCAAGGGCTGTTGTGAGGAAACCATGGGGAAGTCCTCAGGGGTGGGGACAGCAGGGCTTGGCCACCACAGGGGCCCTGTATCTGTTAGGTGCCATTGAGTCGGTTCCCACTCATAGCGACCCTACGGACAACAGAACAAAACACTGCCCGGTCCTGCGCCATCCTCACAATCCCTGTGCTTGAGCCCATTGTTGCAGCCACCGTGTCAATCCATCTCATTGATGGTCTTCCTCTTTTTCGCCGACCCCTACTCTACCAAGCATGATGTTCTTCTCCAGGGTCTGGTCCCTCCTGTTCCCCGCTACTTGCTCTCTTTTTCATTTATAAACTACTGCTCGTTCTTGGTGCCCAAAAACCAAACCCATTGCCGTCGAGTCGATTCTGACCCATAGTGACCCTATCAGACAGAGCAGAACTGCCCCGTAGGGTTTCCAAAGAGCAGCTGGTGGATTCGAACTGCTGACCTTTCGGTTAGCAGACGAGTGCTTAACCGCTGTGCCACCCACTACAAATTCAGACAAGCCAAGAAAATCAAAGCCCCCCTGTGTTCCCGTCCCTGCCCCCCCGAGGTGGTGGGACTTCCCAGCGGCTGGCCTCTGGGTGTGACACCTGGTGTTTGTTGTGGGTGGTTTTGTGCTTTGTTAATTCATGCTGGCATGCGGTGTTATTACCAACCTTTTCCCTTAATGTACTGGAAATGTTCCCCGGGCCCCTAACGCCTGGCCCCAGCCCAGGTGCGTCCCTCCCTGCCCTGTGCTTCCTGTTGGGCGGCAGGGTTGTGGCAGTTCTCGGCAGCTGACTGCCGAGTCCCCTGGTGATTCCTGGGAGTGAGGTCTGGGGCAGCGGCGCTACTCCCAGGGTGTGCCCGCTCTTAGGCTGCCGACCTGCCCCAGACTGCCCCAAGGCCGCCCCGGGACGACCCACACAACGCCTGCGGGTAGGAAGGCACTTGCCTGTGTAGGCAAGGCTCCTGGACCCTGGGGAGAGGCAGAGCTGAAGTCCTCTCTCGGCAGGCGCTCCACCTGCACGCAGTGGGGTCCCAGTGGTTTGACTCCTGCCGGGGCCCCAGTGCCTGGCCCAGCCTGGCTTGCGGTGGCTGCTCAGAAATATGTGGGATGAAGGAGAACAGGGGAGGCCTGGCCTGTGACAGCTCCTCTCCCCACAGGGTTTTGGGCCTGGGGAACCAGCGGGGGCAGTTCTTGCTGGGATGGGGAAGGTGGAGGCGAGCTGACCTGGCTGTCCCCCCCCGCCACAGGCCTCATTCTGCGACGCTGTGAGCTGGACGAGGAAGGCATTGCCTACTGGGAGCCCCCCACCTACATCCGCTGTGTCTCCATCGACTACCGTAACATCCAGATGATGGTGAGCGGGGCTCCGGGAGTCTCCAGCCCACACATCACCCCAGGGCCCTGCTGTGCCAGCCTCGTCTTCCCTCATTGGGAACAGCCTGCGGCCTTCAGAAGCTTGACCCCGATGCTGTGCCCTTTGGACATGAATAGCTCTGGCCCCTTTGGGGCTGCAGAGGGTCCTCTGGGCACAGGGTCCCTGTCCCCTGGAGTCCTTGGTCCCTGTCTTGACGTGTCCCATGGGGCTGATGGCACCCGACCCTCTCCTGCCTCCCCAGACCCGGGAGCACCTGGCGAAGGCTCAGCGCGGGCTGCCGGGTGAGGGGGTCTCGGAGGTCATCCAGACGCTGGTGGAGATCTCCCAGGACGGGGCCAGCTACAGTGGGGACCTGCTGTCCACGATCGACGTGCTAAGGAACATGACGGAGATCTTCCGGAGGGCCTACTACAGCCCCACCCCTGGCGACGTGCAGGTGGGCTCCCAGGGGGGCCTGACTGAGGCCTGACCCTGGTCAAATCAGAAACCTGACTGTGACCACATGCTGGGCCCTGACCTTGGTCACACACTGAGCTCTGACCCTAGTCACAGGCTGAATCCTGCTCCTGGTCATAGATTGAGTCCCGCTTCTGATCACACACTGAGCCCTGATCCTGGTCACATGCTGAGCCCTGATCCTGATAACACGCTGAGCCCTGAGCCTGGTCATACACTGAGTCCTGCTCCTGATCACACGCTGAGCCCTGATCCTGGACACATGCTGAGCCCTGATCCTGATAACAGGCTGAGCCCTGTTCCTGGTCATATGCTGAGCCCTGATCCTGGTCACACACTGATTCCTGACTCTGGTCACACATAGACCTGATCCTGGTTAGTCAGCCCTGACCTGGGTCACATACTGAGCTCTGATCCTGGTCACAGCCTGAGCCCTGACCCTGGTCACACACTGATGCCTCATCCTGATCACACACTGAGACCTGACTCTGGTCACAAGTGGAGCCCCTGGTCACACAGTGTATCCTTGATTCAGGTCACATACAGCCCTGAACCTAGTCACGTGCTGAGCCCTGATCCTGGTCACAGACTGAGCTCTGAGCCTAGTTACATGCTAGGCCCTGATCTGGGTGCCTTATTCTCTCCTCACTGGCTCTTCTTCCCTTCTTTCCAGAACTTTGTCCAGATCATCAGCAACCTGCTGGTGGAGGAGAATCGGGACAAGTGGGAGGAGGCCCAGCTGGTATGGACCACAGTCAGAGGCCGTTATGGTCATCTGGGGTCGGGATGGCCTGCCATGCCCTCTCTACGGCCTAGCCGTGTGACCTCGAGGAAGCCCCTTAGCCTCTTGAGTCTTGGTTTTCTCGTTCCTCAATGATGGTGCTTTATCTGCGGGTGCTAGTGAGGATTGCAGGACAACATGCTGACACCGTGGTGCACACCGAGGGGCACAGCCATGGTGGTCTTTCTGACCTGGAAGAGCAGTCAGCCTCCCTGCCTCCTCACACCTGCCATCACTTGTCCCGGGCAGGTCCCTGGTGTGGGGGCTGTGGTACCAGAGACCACCTGTTATCTGCAAGGTGCTGACGGCTTCCCTCCACCAGCCTGGGCTGCCTGCCCCCGTGGGCAGAGCCCTGGGCCTCAGTGTTCCCATCCACAGAATGGGGGTGACACTCAGAGATCACCAGCCCTGCTCCCCAAGTCAGGCCCAGGCCTCGCAGGGCTAGGAAGTGACCCGTGGGGCCTAGAAGAGAACAGTGAAAGCAGGAAGCTGGAGGGGCAGGGGAAGGACAGGTGTGTCCCTGCCGGGTTGCAAGTGGCCTCAGTGACGCCTTCCCTGTCGCCTTGGGGGCTCCCTGACCACACCCCTGCTCCCCAGGTGGGCCCCAACGCCAAGGAACTGTTCCGGCTGGTGGAGGACTTTGTGGATGTCATCGGCTTCCGCATGAAGGACCTCCGAGACGCGTACCAGGTGACAGACAACCTGGGTAGGCCCGCCCGTCATTCTGCCGACCCCTCCCCCATGCCTCGACAGGGCCCTTCCTGCCTTAGTTTCCTCATTTATGCAAGGGAGAGGGGGAGACCAGAACCCTTCAGGAGCCTCCCAGGGCCAGTTTCCATGGTTTACCCTGATTAAAGCTACCAGCCCCGAGTCTGCTGACGGTGATCTGACCTCAGGCCTGGGAGAAGGTCAGCAGGGGGCATCTCAGACCCTGATAAGGCGCAGAGACCTCGAACCCAGGGCCAGACCCAGGAACCCCCCTTCCCACAGCCAGCTCTCTTGCACTCCCCTGGGGATGGGGGGCTCGCTTATCCCTGTCGCCCTCCCTGCTCTTAGAGATTTGAAGGCAGGGACTGAGCATTTGTTCCCTCTGCCTTGCAAGCTCAATTCTCAGAGCTCAGCAGGCCCAGCCCTGCCATCACAGGCCGAGAGCCTCAGGCCCAGAGAGGGCCAGGCACTATCCGGAGGTCACGTAGCAAGTGGGGCCCGCACCACCGCCTCGGGGTGCTTCCTTCCCTCACCTGGCTGACCTGGCACATTTCTAGGCGATGTGCAGGTGACCCAGAGAAGGGAGGCTTATTGCAGCCACACTGTGTGTCCAGGAAGCCCCCAGGCAGCAGGCTCCCAGGGTGCCGGCCCAGTCTACGCCCCCTGCAGGCCACACACAAGCACGGCCACAGTCCCCGCTACCCACTACCCTGGGAGTCACAGGTGGCCTGGGCTCCTCCCAGGCACCACCCCCACCCCACCAATTCTGCACCTGTCATCCATCACATCTACTGCCCAGCCCTTTCCTGGGCCTTTGCCTCTGACACCCTCCTCTATGTGGCAGGGACCCATCAGCAAAACGCTCCACAGCCCAGCCTCATCCTCCACGGCCCCTTCTCCTTCCTGCTCTCTCTCCCCAGAACCCCGCTCCCTGCAGCCCACTTGGGGGAAGGGGCTGGCTTTCCTCCCTCAGCCCTGTGACCCCTGCTGAGGGCGATGCCAAGGGGTCGAGTAACGGGCGAGCTGGCCAGGTGTCCTCTGAGCAAGGACGATGAGGGACAGCCCGTTGGAAGGGCAGAGGCTGACCGGGGCTGGTTCTTCAGGAGACCTGTGGCTGGGCCTGGGTAGGCCGAGGTTTCTCGGGGTGCCAGGCCCGAGGGACAGGGTCCCACAGGGAGTGGTTGGGAGGGAAGGCAGCGGGAATCTCTCGCTGAGGGCTGCTTCTCCCCAGACGCTCTCCTTAAGACTGCCCAGGCCTCGGCCCTCTCAGGGCTGGGGGGCCTCAGAGCCCCCCAGTCAGGCCCAGGGCCCTGCTCTCTGGGGGCTCTGACCAGACTCTGCCCAGCCCACGCCTGCTTTCCCTGTGTTTCCCCATTCGTGACCTCACAGGCTTGGGGACAGCGCCTGCCCAGGGTGTGGGGAGCATGTTTAGGGACCAGTGGAAGGTGGAGAGGGCCAAGCCCAGGGGCCAAGGCCGGGCTGCCAGCAAAGGCTGGGGCGTTACCCAGGCCCTGGGTCTTCAGAGGAGCCGGTGCCAGCTCCCACACCCCTCCGAGCTGTGCACCTCTGTGCAACCCTGCTCCACTCTCAGGTCTACCCCTCACGTCTTTCTGTGTGTCTCTCTGTCCATCTGCTGCTCCTTGCCCACCCAGTCCTCAGCATCCACAAGCTCCCGGCCAGCAGGGCTATGGACATCAGCTTCCCCATGAAGGGCTGGCGGGCCACGGGCGACTGGGCCAAGGTGCCTGAGGACAGGGTTACTGTCTCCAAGAGCGTCTTTTCCACAGGGCTGGCAGGTGGGGGCTCCAGTTGTGGGGGGGGCCTGGAAGGTGGGGACTCCAGCCATGGAGGGGGGTAGAGCTGGCAGGTGAGGACTCCAGTCTTGGGGGTAGGGCTGGCAAATGGGGGTACCGGCCATGGGAGGGGGGACTGGCAGGTGGCAGTTCTGGCCATGGGGGGAGGGTGGCAGGTAAGGTTCCCCTGGAGCCTGGGTGCCCCTCTAGAGGCAAAATTCCCCGCCCCTGTTTTTTCTCCATGTACCCGAGGTCACCCTGCCCCAGGAAGCCCTTTTTGACCCCCACCACCTGTTAGGGGGACCCCAGGCAATCTTTACTGAATGAATGAAGGGACCACCTCAGTGCAGGGAGGGAAACTGAGTCCCAGGGAGAGAAAGGGGCTCGCTTGGAGCCACAGCAAGTAGTCTGGCTGCTGGACAAGAAGCCACGGCCTGCAGGGACCCTGGGCCACCACCCAGCTCTCTGACCACAGAGCGGCGTCCCTGGTATGGGGTGACCTGCCCACCCTTCAGAGAATGGCACACAAGGCCTGTCCCCTCCAGCCCCTCGCCTTATACAAGGGGCAGCAGTGGACGGCCAGTGCGGGTCAGATGGGGGTCCGAGTAGGGTCAGAGCAGGTCCAGGTGGGCGGTGGTGGGAGAAGCTGACCCTGTCTCTCTTCCAGAGGCTGATGATTCGTCCGTGTTCGTGGTGGGCACTGTGCTCTACCGTAACCTGGGCAGCTTCCTCGCCCTGCAGAGGTGGGTGCCAGGGCTGGCGGGGAGCTGTGGGAGGGGCGCCTGGAGGAGCTGGGGCAGCTGCACAGGGAGGGCAAGGCGTGCTGGGTGCAGGGGCCTGGGCGGGCATCCAGGAAGAGCCTGGAGGAGGGCCCCCTGATAGGCTCTGCCCCTCCCCTGTCCACAGGAACACCACTGTCCTCAACTCCAAGGTCATCTCAGTGACTGTGAAGCCCCCCCCACGCTCGCTGCTCACACCTTTGGAGATCGAGTTCGCGCACATGTACAACGTGAGTGTCTCAAGCGTGCACACCCGCATTTTTGTGTGTGCACATGTACACACTTGTCAACAGCACACACACCTGTACGTAGCACACACACCTGCACGGGGCACACATGCCTGCGTGCGGCACACACGCCTGCACACACCTACACATGGCACACACGCCTGCACACGGCACACACGCCTGCACACACCTACACATAGCACACACGCCTGCACACGGCACACACGCCTGCACACGGCACACACGCCTGCACACGTGTAGCGTGCTCTGTTGGCCCCCACGTGCCTGCCCACCTGGACATTAACTCTCTCAGCTCTCACATCAGCCCTGCGAGACAGCTGCTCATCCCTGAATCACAGGTGGGGAAACTGAGGCCCAGAGAGGCACTATGACTGCCCAGGGTCACAGAGAGGTCAGCATGAGAGCTGAAATCCACCCGATGCCTAAGCTCTAACCCCTGCTCCTGGCTGCCTGTCCTGTGGGGAAGAGTCCACTGCTCCCTAGAGACAGAGTCTGCCTGCCCGCCCTCCCTCCTGGGCCTGACACTCGGCCTCTCTCCACCAGCTCCCTGGCCCCGGGAGACCCACCTCTCCCCTGGCTCCCAGGGGGCTGCCGAGGCTGGGAGGGGACGGGACACCCTGCTGGAACCCCCAGTGCAGACGGCCTGACCCTGTGGGCCTCCTGGGTCCTAGCACCCACAACATCCTCCCAGCACCCTCCTTGACGAGCCGGGTTCCAGGCTGCCACATGCCACTCCCCCCAGCCCTGCCTCCCTGGGTCAGGTTTGCACATGGGCCCAAGTGATTCTGAGGTGGCAGCTGTGACTCAGTGGGCCTGCGTTCGACATCCTTGCTCCCTGAGGCCAGCTCCTGCTGCCCGCCCCTGGCCCTGCTTTGGGGGGCTGCCCGCCGGGCCTCAGAGGGGCAGGGGCAGGGCTGCCTGAGAGCAAATTGCCCAGGTTACTTGAACCCCAGCCAGGGCCATGGAAGAGCCCAGCTCTGCCCTTTCCGCTGTGTGATGCTGGGTGCAGTCCCCATCCTCCTGTGCCCTGGTTTGCTCCCTTATCAGTGGGAGCAGGTGGGGCTGGTGAGGACTCGCGGCTCCCCCACACACCCTCATGCTTAGAGCAGGCGCCCACCAACCTTGCTGCTGCCGCTCTCATTGTCCATGCTGGGGCCCAGGGGGCGTGGGGACAGTGCCGGCAAAGACTCAGCCCTCCGCCGGGCCACCCTCTCAGACACAGCTAGTAGAACCACGGGACATCTGAGCGGGACAGGGGTGCTTCCTGCGGCCTGGGGGACCCCCGGGCCCCCCCCCGACCCCACTTTGTGTTCAGTGGGAAGGGCCTTGGGTTTAGATGGTTCCAGTGCCCACTGTCACCCTGCATCGAATGGGGGAACGCCGGTTCAGAGGGAGGACAGGGCCTGCCCCAGGCCGCCCAGCAGCCAGAAAGAGAGGTATCAAGCTACAGTCGGGGACTCCTTGTCCACTCTGAACCTTGGCTTCCTGCTTGTAAAACTTGGCAGTTCGTGATAGGGACCCTCAGGTCTCTTGGGTGTAGTCAGAGTGCCCAGCACACCAGGGGTGAGTCCAGGCCCGCTGGGACCCCCGGGGCCATCAGGCTGCTGTGGCCCTGACCCCCGCTCCTTCCTTCTCTTCCAGGGCACCACCAACCAGACCTGCATCCTGTGGGATGAGACAGACGTGTGAGTTCACTGGTTTGGGGGCTTCAGGGAGGCTGGTCTGTGGGAGGGGGTACAGGCTTTGGTGTCTGGTGCTGTCCCCCACCCATCTGAGCACTCACGTGTCCCCCCCCCGACCCCATGTCTGGGTCTGAGGCAGCCTGGAGCCCACCAGCCTCGCCTCCCACCACCTCCTATGGATGCTCACAGTTCAGGGCAGGAGAGGGGGGATGGGGCAGGGACCTCCCAAGCCTACTCCCTACCAGAGCAGGCAGCACCCTGATGTTTCTGGCGAGCTGGCATTGCCACACAGGCGGGCAGCAGGGCTTGTGATGAAGACTGGGTGAAACCAGTGGGAGGTGGGTCCTGGGACCCGCCAATGGCTGCACAGGTCCTCATCAAGCACAGCGAGGACAAGCTGGGTGGGGTCTTCAGCCTCCAGAGGCCCTGTGAGCAAGGGTCCACACAGTGGTTGGGGCTGTGACGGGGATTGTCTCCCAGGTGCAGCAGAGCCAGGGGGCGAGTGGGGAGGGCCTTCAGCATAGAATAGACCAAAGGAAGAGGTTGTTCGAAGGCTGGGAAGTGTGAGGGCCCAGAGGTGAGGAGGTCGGGATTCCAGGCGGCAGACCGGGACAGGCCAGGGGGTGTGATGAGGACGGAGCCTCCACCCCGCACGCTCTGGACCCCATGAAGTTTGATGTGCATGGGGAGGGTGGGGTCAGGGAGCTGGTGTCATTGTCACCCCCTTACTGCCCTGGCACCGCCGGCCTCCGAGCCTCCCTGCACCCCTTCCCCAGGCGCTGGCGGTCCACACAGCAAGTCACTTGAGCTGTGGGCAATGTCCTGGGTGGTCAGGGAGGGCTTCCCTGAGTGGCTGACACTGGAGGACAAGTGTGCCCTGCTGAGACGTGAAGGAAGGTCTCCAGGCCGAAGGCACAGTGTGAGCAAAAGTGTGGGGGTTGGAAGGTGCAGGGAGGCACTTGAGATGTGGCCAGGAGGGGCAGGGGACCAGGGACAGGCAAGGGTGCAGGGCATGGAGAGGGGAGACAGTGAGGGGCCATGGGGCCAGTTTGTGGAGTGTCAGGAACTGTTGGTTATGAGATTGTCCTTTATCCCCCGTCCATCCCTCCCTCCACCCATCATCCATCCATCCATCCATCCATCCACCCACCCTTCCATCCATCCATCCACCCACCCTTCCATCCATCATCCATCCACCCACCGGGGAGGGGCAGTAAAGCAGAAACGTGCGGTGTGACAGTGTTGGGTTGTGCCCCAAGTGGGGCCAGCAGGGCCCAGTGGCAGATGGGGTGAGGCGCTCTTCAGAACAGGCCTCTCTGAGGAGGTGGTGTTTGAGCAGAGGCCTGACAGGCCCAGCACTGAGCACCTGATGTCTGGGACAAGCATCTTGGCAGAAGGACTAGCCAGTGCAAAGGCCCTGAGGTGGAAGTGTACAGGGTCACGCCTCATGACTTCACCGTTCCTAAACGGCAGACCCCATTGGCCCTTCCTGCCTGGGTCTGGGGTGTGTAGGCAGGGTTGGGGCTGGGAGCTGGGCTGGGGAGAGCTGAGGTGGATCCTACGCCTGGGAAACAGGCTCTCTGGCTTTCGATAGTGTTGACTGATTTTCTCTGGGTTTTTCAAGTGGCGCAAGATCTTTGTACAAATGGGAAACCAGAAAATAATGGGAAGAAAAGGCAAGAACGAAGCCCCCCTCATGCTCACGACAACTAGGCCGGACCCGCGGACATGTGGGGCGTCTCAGCACTTTGTGTGTTTGGGGTGGAGGTGGTGCTGCTGCAGGATGACCGGTCTTGCCCCTGATGTCAGCACAAGGCCCTCCCACACCCGGGACCCCCCTCCCCGGGCTATTCAAAGGCTGCCTGCAGCTCCCAGGAGGCAGCTCCAGCTGGTGCCACTTGCCACCCCGCCCCCCCCCGCCCCCGCCCCGAGCCCTGGTTTTCTGCTACTGTGTGTCCCAGCATGGCCGACATCTCTGCGTGCACAGCTTCACCTATGTTTCTGGTGATTCCTGTGGGACAGAGTCCCGACAGGTTTAGTCTCTCGATACTAAATGGTTTTCCAAAAAGGTGTGACCCGTGTCCCTTACCCCCGCCCCCGCCCCTGGGCAGCAGGCTGTGACCATCTGACCGCTCAGGCTGTGGCCGAGAAAGTCATGCTCTGCGGGCCCTGGGGCTGTGACCGTGGGCACCCCTGCCCCTGGGAGCCTCAGCTGTCTCTGCCCAGGAGTCTGTCTGCTTATGGGATGGAGCGGGGGAGGGGCAGCAGGCGCGCTGGATCCGGCCCTCAGGGCTCGGCCGGGGCCTTGGCCCACCGGGCCCCAAGTGTGGGGTGGACGCCCCGTGTGGGCAGACAGTTAGGGGTCTGGGGCCTGAGGCTCAAGGCATCGAGGTTCAGAGGGACGGTGCCAGCAGCCGTTCCCGTGACAGAGACGGGCCCTGGCAGTGTTTCACACGTGTTCCCGTGTTTGATCCTCCATGCCGCCCTGGGAGCTGGCTGACGTGTTCTCTGTGAAGCCCCCAGAAAGGTGGGGGTCCAGCCGAAAGCTCCCAGCTGGTGGTGCCTGTGGCTGACCCCGAGTCAAGGAGCCTGGGGTCTGAGGGCAGGGTCCGAGGCTGACGGGCGGCACTGGCTTCGGCACCCTTCCTCCACCCCTCGCCTCTCCTCTGCTCTTTGTCCGATGCCTCCTCCTTCCGTGGCTGGAGGGCCACCACCCACCCTATGACTCTGCTAAAAAAAATCCCAAAAAACGCATGGTGCCACTATGTGCGTCGGAGTAGAGCTGTGCTTCATAGGGTTTTCAATGGCTGATTTTTTTCAGGAAATCACCAGGCCTTTCTTCCAATGTGCCTCTGGGTGGACTCAAACCTCCAGCTTTTTGGTTAGCAGCTGAGCATGTTCACTGCACCACCAGGGGCTCCATGAATTGGCTTGGAGTGGCCACTTCCATGTTTCCCAGTTGATCTGTCACAGGGCCACGGGGCAGGGCCTGGGGTCTGCTTCCACCAGTGTGCAGGAGGAGTGGTCTGTGCTGATCTGGGCCTGTGTTTGTGTGCCATCCAATGAGAAAGGGTCCCATGAGCCCATGTGTCTGTGGAGGGATTGTGCAGGTGGGGGAAGGTTTGAGAGCGAGAGCCATGGGTCACCATCAGCTAAGAAATAGTGACCTCTTAGCTCTGTGACTTTGATCTGCAACTGAAACCTGACTGCATTCTCAACCTGGTAACGCACTGAGCCCTGATCCTGGTCATACACTTACCCCTGATCCTGGTCACACACTGAGCCCAGATCCTGGTCAGGCACTAAGCCCTCATCCTAGTCACACACTGAGCCCTTATCCTGGTCACACACTGAGCCTTCATGCTGTTCACACACTGAGCCCTCATCCTGTCATGCACTGACTCCTCATTCTGCTCACACACTGAGCCCTGATCCTGGTCATGCACTAAGCCCTCATCCTAGTCACACACTGAGCCCTCATCCTAGTCACACACTGAGCCCTCATCCTGGTCACACACTGAGCCTTCATCCTGGTCACACACTGAGCTCTCATCCTGTCATGCACTGACCCCGGATCCTGGTGTCACACTGAACCCTCATCTTGGTCATGCACTGAGCCCTCATCCTGGTGTCACACTGAACCCTGATTCTGGTCACACACTGACTCCTCATCCTGATCACGCACTGAGCCCTCATCCTGGTCACACACTGAAACCTCATCCAGCTGTCACACTGAGCCCTGATTCTGGTCACACACTGAGCCCTCATCCTGGTCATGCACTGAGCCCTGATCCTGGTCACGCACTGAGCCCTCATCCTGGTGTCACACTGAGCCCTGATTCTGGTCATGCACTGAGCCCTAATCCTGGTCACGCACTGAGCTCTGATCCTGGTCA